GGGGGGGGGACGACCCGTACGCCGCGTGGGCCCCGAAGGAGTTTGATGAGAACGGCGTCGTGATTGAGCAGCAGCAAGAGCAGCAGCAGCAGCAAGAGCAGCAGCAGCAAGAGCAGCAGCAGCAGCAGCAGGAGCAGCAGCAGGGGGGCGTCCAGAACGACCCGGACTGGCAGCTGGACCCGGCCAGCGGTTACTACTACAACGCCGGCAGCGGCTATTACTACGACGCCGCCACGGGCCTGTACTACCACGCGACCAGCGGGCAGTGGATGCGGCTGGACCCTGAGACCGGGCAGTTCGCCGCGGCGGACGCGGGGCAGGGCCCGGCCGGCGGCGAGCAGCAGCAGCAGCAGCAGCAGGAGGGCGACCCACAGCAGCAGGAGCAGGAGCAGGAGGAGCAGCAGCAGCAGAACCCAATTGGGCCGGCGCCGGCACCAGCACCGGCCGCTGCCGCGGGGGCAGGGCGGGGGCCGCGCGCCCCTGTGCAGCTCGCGCCCCGCCGCACGGCAACGATTGGCGCCGCGCCGCAGCTCAACTCGCAGGGGCTCCTGGCAGTGATCGCAGTGGAGGAGGTGGGCGCAGACGGCACGGCTTTTGGGGGGAACAAGGGCCGGGGGCGAGGCGGCCGTTGGGACCTGGTTGGGGTTCCTGTGCAGGGGTTTTTGTCTGGAGGCGGCAGCTGATGCAAGCGGAGCTTGATGGCTGACGTCATCAGCCGGCTTGAAACGCGCGGATGCGCACGGTTGCGCCCCGCCCCGCCGCGCAGGAGCGGGAGAAGGAGGAGCGGCGGCGGAAGAAACTGCTCCAGCAGCGGGCCGAGGCGGCGGGCGGCCGCCGCGCGCCGCAGCAGCCGGGCGGGCAGCCGACGCCGGCGCCCGCACCCGCTCCCGCGCCTGCGGCGCCTGCGCCGTCGGTGGCCGCTAAAGTCGGTGCTGGGGCGGTGCAGGGCGTGGTCTATGTCAGCAAATGGGCGCAGCGCAACCGCGGCGCGCAGCCCCAGTAACGCTGTCGCTTGTGAGGAAGACCATGGGTTTGCGGAAGGAGGCTCTGCAAGGGGTAGTGCTCGTGTGCCGTTCGCGCCTTTGGGCAGGGAGGTTATGTTACTGGCCCTGAGACGCCAGATTTCACCTCAGTCACATCGGCCCAAAGCGCAGCTTGAAGGACATTTACGCCAGTGGTGCGATCGCAAGCATGTTGGCCTGTCGTCTTCACATGCGAGGACGCGTCCACGCGGGGCGCGACAGCGCAACAGCCGCCCAGGACGGGAAGAGCCTCCGCAAATGCGTGCGCGAAACGGGGTGAAGCGACAGGTGGCAGGACGGACTCACAAACGCGCTTGGGGAGACTTTACTGCAGGTGAGCTGCCCTGTTTGCGAGTCATCGGGGTCCAGGCTGGCAGCTTGTAAAATGGCCTCATCATGCCGGGCAGTTTCTCGACGACTCAGTGTCGGGAGCAGCCTGTGAGGCTGCACGCCTATCTTTTTCGTGTTGGCTTACCACTCTAAGTTGTCAAAATACCACGGCACCCGCCCATCGACATCTTCTGAGCACCTTGGGATCCGAATTCAATCAATTGGTGTCGCACATGCTGGGCGCGCCTGTTATCAACAGCCGCTACGTATACCGTAGCATTTCAAGGGTGTGTGCCTCGGCCGCCAGTCCCGATCGTTTCTGATCTGATCAAAAAGGCAACTCACAGCCTGACCTGCGTCGCGCCAGGTCCGCCCGTTCACAGCGAAGCGCATCTCTACAGTTCCCTGCAGCGCCATGTCTGGAGGTGCGCTGCGCAGCGGCCGCCGCTCTCGGTCTGGCGTTGCCTCGCGTCAACACCGGTCGCACGAAGGCACAGCTCGCGTGCATGCCCCGGCTTACCCTACCCCCCATAATGTGCAGGCAAGGGTCCTGGCGGCAAGCCGGTGGTGCTGATCACCGAGAAGCTTGGCGAGCCAGGTGCGCGCCCGCCGCCGCCACCACCCCTTCGCAGCCGCCGGCCGCCTCGATGTGACCCACGGCCTCGGCGCGGCACGCCGCCAGGCCCGGCCCGGGCCTGAGTTTTCGCCCCGCTCCATCCCCCTGGCTCGTGCCTCCTTGCAGCTGTGCGCAAACTTCCCTTCCATACATTTTTGTACGCACATAACCCCTCCAAACCCTAGTTT